CCCATGTGGAAAAGAATGAATGAAAGAAATATGTTCTCTTCTGAGTTCATTATTTAAAAAAATTGTCACAATCCAGGATATGTAACTAATTCAGTAGGATATATACCAAAATAGAACAAAAAGAATCTATTGTTCAACTATTTTTTTCAAAAAACAGATTTTTATGAATCTTACTAATAGTTACTAATTATGGCATTTAGATTTCTTAAGCAATATTTTCTTATATACATTAAAAATTAAGCAAATTCTGGTTGTTTAATCAATCGTCTGAGTAATCAGAATGAGTGAAGCACTTCTATATTCTATGGTCAGAAAACAATACTAGGTTTATTAATATGTGTTGGAGGAATTGCTTTATTTTTATTAGATGGAAATTTTAGGTAGTTCTATGCTGTCTTTTACTTCTTAAATTTGATGATGATGATGGTAATGATGATGCTGACATTGATGATGATGGTCATCATTTTGATAGTAGTGGTGATGTTTTGGATATTCAATGGTCCTTGTAATTTTCATACCAATATCAAGTAATTTTGTTCACTTCTATATCATAGCGAAAACTCTGACTATTCCATTTACAGATAAATCCTTAACAACCAAGGGTGCATTCAATTTTGTTTTGAGCTAATATCTGGTAGTCCTAATCACTTTGGCATTGCAAGGAAAGTAAATAATAAAGAGAGAAAAGTGAGGAAAGACAGGCAAACAGGACAACGAAGTTCTTACTTGACTGCTAAAACCATCAGCTCATTCTTACCCTTTCTGACACCTTAATACATTATAACAATTTAGATTGTGCAAATGCTGATAAAGAGATTCTAAATATTTAATGGCTACTAAAAAGATTCTAAGTATTTATTTTAAGTATTTAACAACTCTTTTTTAAAAAAAAATCATATAACTTTCAACTGTGCCCTTCCAGAAACTGGACCGGACTGTCTTAAATGGATTCCCACAACAAGTCATATCATAGTTCAATTGGAGCTGAACAGTCTCAGAAAGCCTTGTGTGTGTGCAGGGCCTGGAATTGTTGTTATCTGAGTCAGAAGTTCTCATGGATTTTCATCTCATCTTTCAGTAGTATGTCATTTTCACATGCAAAGTACAAAGATCAGTAAGAGAGAGGGCAAAACCATCTCTCTTTGAAAATTTTCAAGAGTACTTTTCAAATTGCAGCCTATGCTTTTCTTTTTTCTTTTTCATTCCATTGGCAAAATGACATCCTATGCGAAGCACGGATACAGCATGAAAAGATACGATCCACGGGTACTGTGAGATTTTTCTGTAACAATTGATCACTTCAGGGCTGTTCTGAGCACCTATGCCAGATGGTCACCCTTATTTCTTACAGTTTCAAAGAAACCCACTAACATCCTAGTTTCTCTTTGCTGATATTTCTATCTGGTAGTCAGCCTTCCTAGATCATGATCCAACACAATTAAGGCTACATTCTTGACTGCATGGCCCTTGGTGTATCTTCAGTTTACACAGAAATCTTTTGCTTGGACAACCTCTAAAAAATTAGGCCAAATCTAATTCAGTTACCTGTTAATGACCCCCATGTTTGGAAGTACTACCCATCCTATCTCATAACTGTTAGATTCCCAACAAGAGCTGGTATGCAGTATAGCTTCTCAACTTCCAGCCAATTTATTGAAGTCTGTACAAAGTCTTGCTCAAGCTAACATCAGGAAGCTTGAGATATGGTGAGACACCTGTCCTTCTTTAAACCTGGGAGTGATTAGAATCATAATTCACCAGATTCACTTCTGAATAAATATTTCAATTCTCTCAATCATCAAAAATACAATTCCTTAACATACCAAATCCACAGACTCTAAAAGTTTTTGCTATTAACATTTTTTCTTCTAAATATTCATCTTAATATGGTTCTTTAATTTGAGGTTTCATAAGTACCATAACTATAGTCTTCCGATCCCTTAGTAGTGTTTTCCAAATCATCATTATTTAGATGGAAAATGACCAAGATAGTGAATCAACCAACATTTTACTTCCCTGGGTAAAAAATGATAGATTACAATATATTATATTTAATGGAGTATATATTGATATCAACTCATCATTATAGACTAGGTAGATTATCTGAAAGAACACTCTTTAATTACTGCACTAATTATTCTCACCAAGATCTGTATTGATTAAAAAATCTGATAGCTCGTGATTATTTCTTCATGTAAGTAAATTTTAAAACCAGTGGAGAATAGAGAAATCAACAACAAAGTCTCTGTCTTTCAACATGTGAACTTCCCATTTGTTGAATTTCCCACTAATATAAACAGAGTCATTTATGATGTATTAAATCTAGATAACTGATTTGCAAAAGCTTATGAACACTCCAATGGATGAATTGAAGGTATAATTTAAAATAGAAGAGTTAGCCCAAACTAAGTATATAACTGTTAGTATATGTTTTGAGTGATGCAACAGGAAATTACAAGATCATTCCAAAGAACTCAAGTTGAATGCTGCTAGAATCTCTCATGTTTTCATCCATCTATTCTTCTAGCAATCTATCAAATTCTGTGCCCTCCATTTAAAGGCCCAACCGTCCTATAACTGACAATATTCTTAAAATTCCTTAATATTTTTCAAGCTTTTTTCTTTTCTACTACCTATTATATTTGATATATAGCAAAAGGTCATTATATACATACACCACACACACACACACACACACACACACACACACACACACACACACACACACACACACACAAACCAACATTTTTTTTTGGTCAGTTGTGAGGCTGGGCTCTGTTCCTGAGCTCTTTTGCTCAAGGCTGGCACTTTACCACTTTGGACCACAACACCACTTCTGGTTTTTGAATGATTAATTGGAGATAAGAGTCTCAATAGGGACTTTTCTGCCCAGGCTGGCTTTCTCAGATCTCAGCCTCCTGAATATCTAGGATAATAGGCATGAGCCACCAGTGCCCAGCTCAGATAATTGCTTTTTTTGATGTTTGTTTTTTGTTTTTTTGTTTTTTAACTTTTTGCTTGGAACTAAGAAGCTGCTATTCTTTTAGCAATATTTCTTAAAGCCTGCCAAATCCCACAGTAAATCCGACACATACATTATTATCTGAAAATTACTTTTCTTCTTTCCTATATTTTCCATTATTCTTAAATGTTCCAGTTCAGGTTTTGTTTTTCTTTTTGTCACTACTTCATCAACACTAAGACGGACTTCACAGGTTTTTTGTTGTTGTTGTTCCCTTCACATTATGGAAAAGATCACAGAGGGACCACAAGCCTCAGGGAATTTACTCATGTGGCTTCACCACATATCTCTTACAGTTTTCCTGCATTTGGCAATGACCTCCCACTTAACCAGAAAGTGATTTAGTTAAATCTTCCCACAACAGAAAAGATTTCCTCACTTTCCCTAATATCACAAAGTAGTTTTGCCTGATAACATTGCTTTCAGAAAACTGTTTTGGTACTTTCCCCCCCAACATTTCCTACTCTGACATGTAAGAGCAAGTCAGGTTTGACTTACTGTGCTACTCATACTCATGTTTTTGAGAATTCTGAAAACCATGAATTGTTTGTTCCTGATGTCTAGCTGTTCCTTTGCTTTTTTATGTATGTTGTTGTGCTGACGTATTTATGTTCATTCTATCTTTTTTAATAATCTTAAGATTATTTTCTCCAACTAGAATTTAAGTCAGGATACATAACTCAACTCTGAAACAGGAAAACTAATGTAAGTTTTTCACAGCAAGTTCTGTTTGACTGTTTAACAAAACTCATTCCTCTCCCAAAACAATTAACCTATTTATGTCATTAAAAAAGTATTTTATATGTAAACAACCTATTTATCTCAAGAAAGAAACATTTTATATATAGCACTTCTATTATTAAAAGATATATTTTATTCCAATCTTCATACAAAGTTCATATATTCTAGCTTGTATTTTATCATGGGTATCATGTATTGCAGACTTACATTGTAAGTCTGCGTTACATTGTGGCATATAAACAGGCCTTAATCCACTTCTAATCAAGACAAGGATAACACAACAACAATAAGTACTATGCTATGCCATTATAGATAAAGCAATACCAAATTCAATTTAAAAATGTTTTTCAATGGATTGAGGTTTATTAAAAGTAAATACTAAGGAAATATTCAAACTTATTACTGTTTTTATTGTTTATTTTCCAAATAAAGGAGATGATTTTATAACTGAGTGAAAAATAAAAATCCATGATACACAAATGTATAGGAAATCATGATCACCAAAGCAGAACAACAAAAATATACTCAAAAACAGTCTTGCACACAAGAGCTGAAGATCAATTAGTAATAAATGTAGTGGATAGAAAAAATTCCACTAAATGAATAGATAAGCAAAGGAAAAGTAAGAAAAGTCAATCACCAAAGTTATTTTTAAATGGCAGAAATTACTGAATACCCTTTTATTTTATTCAATGCCCCTGTCTCAATTCTCCAATCAAAAGACATATAATGCTGAGTTGGTTTCAATGGTAAGACCTGACAATTTGTTCTGTACAATAAGCACATCTTACTGATAACAAACAGTGGTTTATGGTGAAAAGTTGGAAAGAGATCTTCCAAGCAAACAGCCTCTGAAAGCAGCCATTATTCGTAGCTGAATTCTAGAAATCTTCTAACCCAATGGGATCATGGAAATGTATTTTACAAAATCTTGAGCTCAAGGCTTGGGCTCTTTCTCTTAGCTTTTTCACTCAAGACTAGAACTCTACCTTTTGAACCTTTGTGCTGGTTCATTGGATATACGAGTATCTTGGGCTTTCCTGCCCGGGGAAGATTTGAATCATCATCTTCAAATCTCAGTTTCCCAAGAAGCTAGAATTACTGATATGAGTCATTGGTGCCTAGTGGGCCATAGAACCTCTTTTCACCAAAAGCTAGCTAAAGAACTGAAAATATTAGTCTAACTTTTCCAGACCCATCAGTGTAAAATAGATACCAAGGGAGTTATCTGACTTACCTTGTTAGTTGTAGGTTTCAAGAATCCCATTTCAAGAATCCTGGCAAAATGGGTTTCAAGAATCCCATTTCAAGAATCCCATTTCAAGAATCCTGGACGAGGATTCTCCTGCTGTATAAAAGGGCCAAGAAAAAATTTGAACAAATATGTTTTGCTGATTTTCCCTCAGATTATTATTGTCAACATAAGCTATTAAACTGTACCTTTTTTTTTTTTTGGTGAGTCGTGGGCCTTGAACGCTGGGCTGAGGCTCTGTCCCTGAATGCTTCGGCTCAAGGCTAGTGCTCTAACACTTGATCACAGAGCCACTTTCGGTTTCCTAATGGTTAATTGGAGATCAGAATCTCATGACTTTCCTGCCCAGGGGCTGGATTTGAACCACAATCCTCAGATCTCAGGCTTCTGAGTAGCTAGGTTTAAAAGTGTGAGCCACCAGTGCCTGGTTTAAATGGTACCCCTTTACTGAGTTCTATTCTACATGACTCTTCTGCTTAAGTGAACCAAAGCTTACAGAGGGAGAGTTTATCCTCAAACTTTGTGTTTTCAGTTAATAAACTCCCATGTGCCTTAAAACTGTGACCAAAAAAGAGTTGTATTTTTCTCTTCTTATTCTTCTTTTGTTATAGAGGTGTTGGTCATGACTCTTCATGTAGGCAGTCAATGCTTCACCCCCTTCTCTAACCCTTGCCAGGAGACAAAGAATGTTAGGGAGCTGACAAGACTTTTTGCCTCTTGTTTGAATGAACACAGTCCATTCATGAAAGTTTGACCATGAACTTCACTTTAGCTTATTGAATAAACTTGACACCTGATTACATGACCACATGAATCTCAGGGACTAATGCTAGAGCAAAAACAGCTAGACGTCAGTGAGCATATCTACATGATGTCATTTACCGTGAGCTCAAAACAAGATAAACGAATCTTGAATCCAATTAGAAAAGTGGTTTCCTGGGTTTTGGGAAGGAAGGTAGTGGGGAATTCTCTAGAAAGGACAAGTTGGGAAAATCTCACAAGGATAGGGAACATTTTTTTTATTTTATTTTGAATTTTCATCTTTTTTTTATTGTGAAAATACTGTACAGAGGGGTTACAATTACATGGGCAAGATAATGAGTACATTTCTTATCAAGCAGTGTAGCCTCCTCCTTTGCTTCCCTTTCCTATCCCTTCCCATCCTCCCCCTGCCCCCTCCCCACCGAACATTTGTGTTGCAAAGGAACATTTGGATATTTACAACAAAATCCACAGGCCATATCAAACTATCAGTATAGGCAAATAGATGTGGGCAACCAATGAAAACCATTCAAGAAGCACACTAGTGTGTTCCACAAATTAGATTTAGTTGGCCTTATACAGCTTTCAGGCCAGATGTTCCCTCCTCTGCAGCCTTAGAAACAGTGTATATAAATGGTTGCTGTCAAAAGTCACTGTATTGTAGAACTGATTTTCATATCTAATTGTCCTTAATTTTTCCCTAAAAAATTATAAACAAAACAGAAAGGTACTGTGATGTTTTGTGGGAATTCAACCCATATACCCAGTACTTCCAACTGAAAAAATACAAGTATAAGTCAAATTTAATGACAGTAAATGAATTGAATCTTAATGAATGTGTGTTCCCTAGTTTCTACAAGGGAGAAACAAGCAGACTTCTCTCCTGGCTTTGATGGTAACTATAATCACTCTTGTTTATGCAGAGTTTATTATTTCTAAATTACTCACTCAGGGTCTGATTAAAAATGATGTTCATGCTCTTTTTTTCTTCCATTCAGTAATGTATTCCTCAAAGCAAGAAAAAAAGTGCTTATCATGAGCCCAAATTAATTAAATTTGATAAACTCGCTGTTCATTAAACCTCTTCTGAGTTTGCAAACATATCCCTTTCAATTGCACTACTTGGAAATGAGAAATGTAAGGAAATGAAAGGAAAGGAAATAAAATTTCATAAATTAACATACTCTAAATGCGACCAATACCTATGTGCCCACCGTGGTCAAGGCCTTAAACCTACAATAAAGAGAAAAAACAAAAAATATTTCCATATCAAGAAATTGACTATTCTATGCTACATAGCATGCCCTCCTTTAGTCGCATTTGGTCTGAAACATAAGCACACATTCCATCTGCTAGTCTTCTGAGGATCCGTTATTTACCAAGACACAAGTAGTGCCTTCTTTGGATCTTAAAATGTGACTTCTATTTTTTTTAAAAAAACAAGTCACATTTAAAAAATTGAAAATTGCAAAAGGAAAATGTCGCTTAAGAGGAATTAAACTCTGCTGGGCGCCCAAGTAGCAGCCAGAACTAGGGCCTCCTACAAAGGGCTACCCCTTGCAGTCTCCAGCAGGGATCTGGAGAGCAACATGATGCAGTAACAATACCTCCGGAAGTCAGCTGGATAAAACTTTCATTTGTCAGAAATGTCCACCCGGGAAAGGATGCTCATTCTAATCTCCTAACCAAAAGGGAAAGATACAGTCTGTACAAATTAGTGTCACAATGTTAAACTGGAAGACCTAGATGCATACACCACAATTTGTCAAGAGGGATTACCAAAGATTCACGCAGATGAGTGTGACCTTGGTCTTTGGTGGGGGACTTGGAGCACGTGGTATGGTGAGCAGAATCAAGAGATCCACCTGTGGCGATACGAAAGGGGCTATTCAATTCTCAGGGAGGTTAGGAATAAACTCAGGGAAAATCAGGAATTTGTGAATTTCCAGAAGACAAGAAGTGACATGCTTCTCTCGAGCAGAAACCAGCAGCTGTTGGAGTTCACCTTCTGGAATGAGCTTGTCCCATGATCAGGACCGAATATAGATGAATTCAGGTTCTAGCAGCTTTGCCCAGGAACCATGACTAAATGGGACAATTACTGAGCCCTTGGAATTCACTTAGAAGGGACAGTAGAGAGGCAGGGGGAAGGGGCTTCTCTCAGATTGAGCATCATCATAGAACATCATCTTCAGGACCAGGGATGATATACAAAGGGCAGCATTGCACAAACATAGTTGGGAAGAATTGGTATACTATACAGTCCCACTCATGCAGGAAATGGAATCCAGAGTCATGATCCCACTGAAATCTGTAGCCCTCGAATGATGCTACAGAACTTATGTGCTTAAGTAATGTGACTAGGCTAGGAATTAATTTTAATTGTATATCCAGTGACAAGAGAAAACAGTGAGGTGTACACTGCTGTACATAGCTTTAAGAGGCCTCTTGTCTTTAAAATTCATCACAGGAAGGGAAACCATCACTGTGTGGCTGATAGTAGCTACGCCATGCTCTGTTGGCTTGGATCCTCCAGGAAGGGGGTCCAGATTAGAGTCTCAGTCATCTCTGAATAAGATTACAACCATGAAAACAATCAGCCCTTTTGTCATGGTTCTCTTGGGCATATTTTCTGAGTCTCAAACCAGGAGCAAGTTCTGACTGTACTCCATGACTGACCTTGTTTGAATTCCAACTCATCTCTACTCAGTCATTCTCAGTGTGTCATCACTAAGCTGATAGTGGTGTACAGGATGCATTTTCTCAGTAATTTTCTTCACTTCCTTCACTGTGGTCTCCAAGAGCAGGGAAAAAAATGGCTTCAACCTATGGATCATATGACTGAAATGAGCACCTGAAAAATGCGAATTATCTTTGTAATATTTGTTTTCTATGAAACAAGTAGCAACTGGAAAAAGGGTTTTATTTTGTTAAGCAGTCAAAGCCATGGGTGGAAGGTGGACCAGGTGGAGACTTAAATTGTCATGAAGCTACATATTGTGTCTAGATCTGTGGATTCCATTTTTTAATAGTGTGTCAATTTTGAGACTGTATCACATGACAATTCCATTAAGCTGAAAAAAAATTATACCCCATGAATCGAGGAACGCATGTGTAAAATAAAGTATGAATACATTTTAAAGATAATTAAAATCCTTTAATTCCATGTGAGTGATTCAAAATAATCTTCCATCCATTGCTAATCTGAAAGTTAAATTGATGGGAAAGTATTACCTTGTTCTGGCGAATGCCATTTTACTCCCAAACCAGTTCTTTGCTTGAAGTTAAATGTAGCCCAAGCCAAACTTTTAAGGCCATTATAGCCTCAAAGGAGGTAGGGATTAAAAGTAGAGCCTATGTTCAGACACAGAATTGTTAATCAAAATGAGAAGAAGAACAGTAGTAGAAATAGATATACAGACAGAAGAATGTGTAGGTGTGAAAATAGAAGTGCTTGTGGGTGTTGGATTGTGTGTCAAGTCTTAGCCATATGTATTTTGACACTTTAAAGGGGGATGAAATGTAATGTAATAAAAATTACAAAGAGTAAGGTAATAATTCACTAATAATTTTAATTGGTTTTCTAATAGCTTTCAAATGCTTTTACCTGGGGAAATTATTAAATTTATTACCAATCTTCTGAGTTACCCAAAGAAGACAGCTTAAAAAAGGACGTTATTTAACAAAACATAAAGCATTTTTAATTAAAGAGAAGCATTTTATTCTTACTTGCCTTTATTTTTTTTTTGGTTAGTACTTTCTAAGAGGCTTCTGTCATATGGAATTTTAAATCATGAACAGAATTACATTATGGAAAATACCTTTAGCAGGTTTTCAGCATAGACTTGGCCCAATTAGTGAATCACTCTATGGTCCAGGAAATATCCTGATGTCTGCTAGCCAGTGAAGTATATGTATTGTTATATATGCTCCTATACATTGAAGAGTTATGACAAAGATGCCTAAAGCTCCAAGCACTCAATGCTCATGGGCTGTATTTTATTTTAAATATATATGCTATAAATGCATGTATAGTAAAATTATAATATATTAAACATCATAAGTATCTATAATGTAAATTATACATATAATAGTTATTATGTATATAATATATAATTACATATATGTTCTATAATAAATATATAAAATATAACTATTATAAAATATATAACAGGCTTTCATTCAGCTACATAATGCATTTTTTAGTGTGCATCTATGTGTTCCTGTCCTGGGTTTTGAAGTCAGGGCCAGGGTATTCTCCCTGAGTTTATTTTTTTTTCCTCAAAGGTAGAATTCACAGCCATTTTCAGAGTTGTAGTAGAGATAAGAGACTCATGGACTTTCCTTCCCTCTCTGGCTTTAAGTGACAATTCTCAAATCACAGCCTCCTGAGTAGTTAGGATTACAAGCACAAACCAATAACACCTAGTATCATATATTCTTAATAATCAAACTAATATTTCTTCTCAATTGAAGAGCCTTTATCCCTGTACATGCCTCTCCACCAATTCTAATGCATGCAGGCACCTTATATCTAGGGTAAGAAATCAAATTGAGTAGTTCAAGTTGATCTTACTCCATAGATATAAGCTATAGAGTGTTTGGTTTGAGTATAGTCTTTTCTCAATCCTTCCACTGAGGAGAAGCAAACACTCCACTACAAACTATCACTGAACATCAGAAGAGTTCTCCCTAAGACAGAGAAATATCTCTTATTATTCAAACTCAAACTAAACAAATATTAGAAATGCAATTTAGCTCCATACCTGGCTCCTCATGTCTTACCACTGCTGGGAAATCTTCTCATGTTGTGAGAGTTTTAGGAAAACTTGAGCACCAACTGGCTCAGAGACCAGAACAGAATGTGAAAAACAAAACTTCCACTTTGGGTATCTATTAACCAACCTAGCATTCCTTTGCGGTCAGATTGTTCATTCAGGAAAAAAGCATATATTTTCTATGACATGGAATACTTGTGTATCTTCTGTTTCTCTCCTTCCCTTGGGCACAGCTCTTCCCTTCATCTTTACTGTCTGAACAGGGACCATTCTTTTGTAATTTACCACTTTCTTTTCTGTAAGTCCTCATCTGTTCCTCTCATCTATTTCTTTTCTGTACTCTCTATTTGATGTCCAAACCGATTCACAAGGTAATGCCCCAGATAATGTTTTGTTCCCTCCATACTGACAACATATGATCTTCATTAGACTTATTTGGTTTTCCAATTTCCCCTCCATTCAGAGCAGTACCTCTGACCTTACCTGCTGGATACTTTAACACTTCCAATGATATAGAAAACTCCACATTTTCAATAATGCATTAGTGGTACTCTGAAATATTGTCATGTTCTTGCTTTTATTTAACTGGTTAACTGAATGAAGTGTAAAGCCCAGATTTTAACTAAACACTGTACTGTATGTTCAGCCAGAGTAAAAAAACAACTAATGATTTAAAAAAAGTAAAATAAAAGCTTCCTGGAAATTCACAAATCAGTAAGGCACACACTCTGTTATTTGTGAATGGGTTATTTATTTATTAATTTATTTATTTTTGGTCAGTCGTAGGGCTTGAACCATAGGCTTGAGAGCTGTCCTTCAGCTCTTCAGCTCAAAGTGAGCATTCTACCACTTGAGCCTTCGCACCACTCCTGGTTTACTGACTGGTTTATTGGAAATTAGAGTCTCACAGAGTTTCCTGCTCGGCTGGCTTTGAACTACGTTAATCAGATCTCAGCCTCCTGAGTAGCTAGGATTACAGGCATGAGCCACCAGGCACTCAGCTTGCAGTGGGTTATTTTATATATTCCTACAGTTTGCCACTCTATTGGCTCTTACTTCCTGCCTGCATAGGACCCCAAGGTCAGCCAAGGGTAAAGAATGGACTTTTTAGTTCTTCACATGATTTCACACTTTCCTATGGACAGTCATCTATCAGGGACTAAATTGCTCATTATATCTCAAAATTCCTATAGATATCCCATTTCACAGTAGTTCTTTCAAGTTTTGTCAAACTTCTTGCTTATTCTCTTCCTTCTCTTCTTTCTTCCTCCTCCCTCCTTTCTTTTTGCTACTCATTCTTCTTTCTTCCTCCTCTTCCTCCTCTTCCTCCTCTTCCTCCTCCTCTTCCTCCTCTTCCTCCTCCTCCTCCTCATTTGTCTTCCTCTCTCACTGTCTCTCTTTCTCTCTCAAAGAACATTCTTGTGCTAGGGCTTTTAGATTGAGGATCTGAAGCTGC